TACATGGAGTCAAGTCAAAACAAGCAAGTCCCGTTAAGCATTTATTTTACAATTCGACATTGCGAAGGTCACTCTAGCTCTAAAGTACGGAGGGTTCTTAAAAGACGGAAAAATATCATGCCGTTCAAAGACAACATTTCCAGCAGATATCGTTACTGTCATTCCGGGCATGACGCCAAGCAGATTTGTAAATGTTAGTTTTTTTAAGTCTGAACCAAAGTATTTTGCTCTCAATAAGTATGCTCGGATAAATCCGGTTTCATTTTATCTATGTGGAATAAATAATTTTTATGTCTGCCAAATTATATTTGAAAGACATGGAGCATCCCAATGGTTCGATTCCGACTGCTTTAACATCCCTCATCGCTTTTGATCAGCTGGCTCGCCTACTGTGACCTTGAATCTAAAACCGATTGGTGTATTTACGTGATCCTCTATCATATTTCACTGACGGATAAATTTATTTGCATTTTAGAGTGCATCCAGCCGCAATTGGGCTCCCCTATTAACGTCAGGAACGGCGAAGGACACGTGAAATGTGCCGTAAAGAAGGAGTGTTCAGATAAGTTCGTGAGTCCACTCAGTCATTCATTTCATCTGATAACCAGTACTGAATTCCTACATCATTTTTGCTTGCCTTTGTGGACTAAAACGGTCTGGCTAACCATAATTAGGCTGCCTTCTAGTCTCTTAGCTCCACCTAGCCTACTGGCGATCTTATACTCTACAGTGCTTCTTCCAGCAATTTGCAACACCACCTTTCTCGCCTGTTGCATGGCTGAGATTTCGATAACTATTGTTGTCTGCCCACTAAAGGAAACTGTTCAGGAATACGTACACAAGCATCTGCTTCCTCGACAGGCGCTGCCTATAAAAAGATGATGTTTTTAATAAAATTTTCTGTCGAAAGACAGGTATTCATATATGTGACCTTTTAGAATTTCATTCACTTAACGAGCGGTCATTCGAACATGTTCTGTATACTGCGAAAGAAAGTTGTCTCCCATTGACATTGAAAAACTGGTTTACTTCTGCATTCTAGCTTACCATTGCTGACACCAACGGAGAGGTCTGCCGCAACTATGAACCCGTGACATGTGGTGCGATAATGCAATCTTCCATTTCAAGCCTTTTGCACGTTCTGGTCGCACATCTCGGAATCACTGTAAAAGATATCCTAAAGCTGTGTCTTTGTCCGTTTTTTTCATGATGGGTTATTTGAGTGCAGCATGCAATAGCCTGTTCAGTTCACAAATCCCTTCCACTCTAATGGATCCTTATTAAATGCAACCATAGTGTCCAAAGCCCGGAAGATAGTAGTTAGGTTTATTCTATGAAAATGTCCCGAGGGGATACATTGGAATCTCGGGTGAGTCTTCATGCACGATTTAAAAGCTAAAATTTTCTTTGCCAATATACTACTTACTATATGACAATAGCCTTTGCTGTTTAAACGGAGAGCTCGTTTTCGATTAAGTAAAATATGTAAACCAAATGTGTGGTTTACGAGCTACCTGAAAGAGACCTTCCAGTTGTGTGTTTGCTTTATTCCGAAATAGTCTCCCCCAGAAAACATTTTCTGTTCGGCATGCAATTAAGTATTATTATTGTCGAACAAGGTATGCAAAACAAGCCTCTTCAAGAAAATGTCTTTTATCTTATTTAATCAGTATTGGTTCAAGAAAACTCAACGTCTTTGTCACAAATCAGAACTTCGCCCAAGTAATTAGTCAAATCCTGTTTCAACACTGAGCACAGTCAACTACGTTTCAGTCTTCTACCTTTATGACCTATACGTTAAAGAATGATTCACAATTCGGGGGCCGACCCACTTAGCCTACCGAGTGTAATTTCGCGCCAGTGGTAAATTTGAAAGTTGTGATGGACCACCGCGTTCATACTATTATCTTGGTCACCTTCGAAGTATGCATGGATTAACTACTTGTTGGTAAAGTTTCGTAGTAAAATTTATCAATAAGTTTTATTAATCATGTTAGATGCTCTTTTGATGCTCCAGGTGATAGTGAGAGTTCTTTTACTATTCTAATTTATTTGAATTGAACATCAGGGAGACTTTAGTGAATATACATACTTTCTTCTTATATTTCCAATATATAAGCCTAATGATTGTTATGTTTATAGTTCGCGAGGATATTGATGAGCACACTGTGGGATTCACCGCTAATGTTGACGGGACTACTGGTGAACGCTACAGCTTCGTCTTCTGCCAGATTTCGGGCGACGGCGTCGAATACATTATCGACTGGGAGGGTGAGGGTATGTGCCGACTATTTCTTCTGCATCATACTAATCTTTTCAATCAGCACAGGCAATTATATGCGAATGTCTTGAAGTCACCCCCATATACAAAATCTGCTAAAGCCTAGACAGCCGAAATTTCTAGCCTTACTAAGAGCATTCAGAACATGCGTTTAACTTGCGTGTTTTGATTTTAGAAACCAACGAATGCCCCTAAGTGTGCGCAGGTTCGTAAGCCTTGACGTTTTCGTTCACGTCTACATTGCCGTTAATTGTAATATTTTCTCTCATTAAAATGGCTTACTGCAAATCAATCAGTAGCAAAATTTAAGTCAATTTGTCCATGCGGTACAGTGTACTAAGACATTTCTGCATTTTGTTGTAGGTTCACTCTGAGCTGAGGAAATCAGAACGCACGACGTTGATTGAACATGTAGTTTAGTTTACTTTTTATGCCTTACTCCCAATAAATTATAGTTAACAATTGCACCGTCTTCTCTGTACTGTGCGTTGGATGTTTTGTGAGCTTCATGCACGTAGCTCCACATTGTTTCTGTCGATGGAGGCACTAAAGGAACTGAAGAAGCTGGTGGTTACCAAGGGAGATAGACGCATGTGAAATCTCGGACGATTTTAAGGCAGCGAAGCCGTCTTACTGCTTGTCATATTTCGTTAGTATCCTTCCTCGCGATCGAGGCGTTTAATCACAGATAGCATGCGGACAAATCGCACTTTTGAAATAAACCTTGATGTCCACTTCGCTGTTCGGAGTAAGTGACAGATTTTATCTTTAGCATAAAATAGACCGCAAAAGCCAGGTCTCAACATAGACGACCCGACAAGGTGCTCCGCTTCCACCTAAAGAAATATAAATCCTTAATAAAGAAGAAAATGCACGCCTTTATTAAAAAATGAATGAGCACACGGCCAATAGGATCTTTAAAACCGGGGTTAAAATCTCAGATATTTGATCCCCGGATAAATAACTGAGGTTACATATATAGGATATTCAGATATGGTCATAGCACATGCTCAATAGCGACCGAAATGAGTTGCCTTCACTGTTTAGTGCTAAACGAATAAAATTTGGACAAATATCACGCGTCCACAACGTCCATTAAGCGCACTTTCATGGTTTCAGA